CTCCAACCTAAAGGTGAGTGAGCGTAGCGAACGAACTTCAACCAGGACGTGATTGAGCCATGCGAACGAGATCATCTTGAAAATTAAGAAGTTAAACGGGGCAAAGCCCGCGGGTTACAGCTAGTATATATATATATATATACAGGGTTAGTAAAAAGTGTGGAGACCCCTGTTATTTTTTTAACGGCCCATACTAGGAATACTTAACTCGGCACACCTTTATGGCATGTTATGAAGTACTTTTTTGGCATAACCACCACTTGGTGTACATCCCCAAAATGGGGTATTTTGGGGGAAACTCAAAAATTTCAAATACAAAGACCCATCGAGTGACCCCTCATTTTGAAGGTCCTGGTAAAAGAAAGCCAACAACGCAAACTAGAGGTCTATATCTCAATCCAGTAAAAAATGGCAGCCAATTGAAATTATCAGAAGTTAAACTTAACTTACAGCTTTGAAAGTCTGGAGACCCCCTGTAAATTTTGTAACGGCTCACACTAGGAAAACTAAACTCTACACACCTTTTTGGCATGTTATGAAGTACTTTTTAAACCTAATAGCCACTTGGTTCCCAAACCTGGAGGCGAGTTAGCGTAGTGAACGAGCTAACCTGAAGGCAAGTGAGCGTAGCGAACGAGCTAATCTGAAGGCAAGTGAGCGCAGCGAACGAGCTAACCTGAAGGCAAGTGAGTGCAGCGAACGAGCTCCAACCTAAAGGTGAGTGAGCGTAGCGAACGAGCTCCAACCTAAAGGTGAGTGAGCGTAGCGAACGAACTTCAACCAGGACGTGATTGAGCCATGCGAACGAGATCATCTTGAAAATTAAGAAGTTAAACGGGGCAAAGCCCGCGGGTTACAGCTAGTACCCTATAAAAAAATAAAAATTTCAGTCACTCTTGAAAAGGGTTTGATCAGAATCAGAATATTAAGCTTAAAGACTTAGCAGCTGGACTTAGTAACTGTGTCTAGGCACACAGGTCAAGCGAGTCCCCCCCAAAGAGTCAAACAGTCATCTAAGTCCAGTCATGCTCTAAAGTTACAAGAACAAACTAAAGGTGCAAGAACACCTGTTCATAATGGAAAGCCAAAGGACTTATCAATCCTGAAATAGCTTTTTTTGTTGTTCTGAAACTCTCAGTCTTGTAAAATACCAATCTGAAAAGCCTTTGAGGCTTGTTTGTTAATTTAAAAAAAAGTTGATGAACATTCTACACTTACTGTTTAACACCTAGACTGATCAGTGGCCGCTGATGATCGATGGTAGATGATGATCAGTGGCCGCTGATGATCGATGGTAGATGATGATCAGGCCGCTGATGATCTATGGTAGATGATGATCAGTGGCCGCTGATGATCAATGGTGTATGATCGAGTTTGTTATGTTCTTCACCAATTTAGTTTTCAACAATATTTCTGTTTTACAGTGAGCTGATATTGGGACCTGCACCTGAAGGCTTCCAGTTCACACCAAAACACAAAGCAAATGCTTGGAGTCCCAATCAGTAAGATGTTACCCCGGTAATATGTTAGTAGCTATTAAAATATATTTATTTGTTGATTATTGCAAATTGTGTTATTGAGATCCTAACAACAAAATGGGCTAAGGCAATTTAAAATGTAAACAATTGCTTATATCAGGTTGTTTTCCATTGGAGCACTATTAAAATGCTTTTTGCCATCCATAAGAATACATGTTAGGACATCAGCCAACACTTTTTCAGCACTTACTTCATATTGAATTTTTTTAATTTAAGAAGTGTAAGAGAAAACATTTGGTACCCATGGTTTCCAATTTTGTATCATATTGTCAATCTTTTAAAGATAACCTCTCAAACTACTTTTCAATTTAATTTGCTAATGGAAACGAGCAGCTTTTTAGTAAATGATTCAATCGTTTTATCTATTACAATTGTCGAGCTATTTACGAGAAGGTAACAGTTAAGCTACAACCTATAAACAATCAATTTCATACTTTCAATTGTTTACAATCTAAATTTAAAACTTAGTTGACAAAAGCTGATTTTTACTCCCTCGGGGCTAAAAACGCCTTTTACTCCCTAGAGAGTAAAAATGCTACTTTAGACCCGTAAAGCATGCATTAAAAATAGTGGTTTTTGCTGCAGTATGCCAAATTTTTTTTACCACTAACCTTTGACACTTAGATACTCATACACATGAAAGGTTTTTATACTTGATGAAAGAAACGTTAGGTAGCCTAGTACTGTACTATCTATACTATTATAAAAAAGAGGTGGTTGCTGCATGTGTGTATGTGTGTATGGGAAAAGTAAACTCGAAAAATACTGGTCGGATTGGGCTGAAATTTGGCATGATGATAGCTCACATTCCCGATTAACATATAGGCATATTCTTATTTCAAAAATCCTTTCGGGCTCCGCCCCAGTGGCTCTGGAGTTTCCCATGTTAACCTTATGAGAAATGGAATTATTGAATCTTAACAGCTGTTTCATTTAAACAAGTTGGTTCTGTTCTATGATGTTCAATAGCATTAAAGTTACAAGGATTACCAACAGGGTGCAGCACTATTATTTCTTTTACATTTATGACAACAGCTAATTTGCAACCAAAAGGTGAGTGAGCGTAGCGAACGAACTTCAACCTGGAGGCGAGTTAGCGTAGCGAACGAGCTAACCTGAAGGCAAGTGAGCGCAGCGAACGAGCTCCAACCTAAAGGTGAGTGAGCGTAGCGAACGAGCTCCAACCTAAAGGTGAGTGAGCGTAGCGAACGAGCTCCAACTTAAAGGTGAGTGAGCGTAGCGAACAAACTTCAACCAGGACGTGATTGAGCCATGCGAACGAGATAATCTTGAAAATTAAGAAGTTAAACGGGGCAAAGCCCGCGGGTTACAGCTAGTCATAGATAAAACATAGGTACTCCCTTAGTAGATTTCTCATCCTTATGGAACAGCTGAAGCCAACTTTATTGTCAGTTCTGTCCAGTGCACTGTAGAGGTTGTGATTTGTTTACAATTTGTTTCTTGTTATTTCAGTAATTTAAAACCTCGTTTAACCAAATAAAATGTTCTAATTATAAACAATAAACTCATCCCCTAGCTATATAATTAAAGCTTAAATTATGAAATTAACCCTAAAATATAATAAACAAAATTTTGTCTATACTAGCGATCAGTGTCACAGGACATGAGATAGACATAAAAAATTAGTTTAACACATTCGCTGCTGGTGGCTCGGATTCAGGACACGCGTAGCGTCCTGCGCATGTCCCGGGTCCGAGCCATCCAAGCTTGTTAAACAAAAGCAGCCAGTATGACTAGTATGAGTCTAGTGTTTGACGGAGAACGTTATTACTTGCTGAGCGTGGTCTGTAAATACAATAGAAATCTGTTTTTGCCGCCGCTCCTTAGTTCGGGCGCGCTCCGATTTTTTGCGGATTTTTAAGTTCCTGCTTGCCTTTATGTTTAGTTTGCGCTTGTGTTTAGTCGTGTTTGGACTTTTTTATGTATTTAATTGTTTGTTTTTTTAGACTAAACTTTGTAAATTTGTAAATTGTTTCTTAGGTTGGTAATGAATTTCCCTGTAAAATCCCCGTCTGGCAATCTCAAAAATCAACTTTTTGTCCCATCTTTTTCCCTCTCCATTTGGCAATACAATTCCAATGGGACCGGCTACGTTCCAAGCAGTGCTGCTATCTGTGGGTGTTTAGCGAACTATTTCGACTATCATTGTAAAGCAGGACATCACCGCACTTTATTTGCAATTCGTCAGACCAAAATTGGAAAGCCAATTACACGCGGCTATCGGGCTTGTTCGACGCTGAGGGCTGCGCCGCACTGGGGATACGCCCGCCATTTGAATGTGTTAAAAATATACAATAGCATGAGAAGTTTATTTGTGGTGGTTAGTCTATGGTAGTATATTCATCAACTGTATGTGTGTGTCTAAACACTAACATTATATTTTACCTAAACCTACAGAATGTTTTAGTGAAACAAGTTAGTGCTAGGTACTCTAATTTGATGGTACAGTATGACTATTAATACCCCCGCCGCAGCAAACCTCCCGACTAAGCGAATTTCCATTTGTCTGAATTGATTTTCAGTTAAATATATTTTAATAACATTAGGTTTAACGAGTACCTAGGTTTGCTGCTACAAGGAAACTAATAAAGTGTGTTTTTGAGTAAAATATTGATAGCTTAGTACAAAATAAATAAATTTGCCAAGTTTGATCAAAATATATCCATAAACAAGCTAACTACAACATTTGACAATATTCTCCATAAGAATAACATGGGAATTTTAAATTTACAATTTTTTTTATTTTCTCCGTTACTAACAATCGAACAAAAATACTTTTATATACTAAATTATTTGTTTTTTTAAGCTCTTTAAAAAGGTCTAAAGAGAAATCGGGAAATTTTGTGTTTTGAGGGTCAAAAGTGAGAAAAACCAATTTTTACCCCATAAAACCCCCCGTAAAGCCCCGTTCCCATGGTCCGATCGTGCTGGTTCGCGAACTCATTCAAGTTTATCCTGCTTTACACCTTTAAACCAAATTTCATCAAAATCGGACAAAAATTACTCAAGTTATCGCGTTCACGGACGTATATATATATATATATATATATAAGTCTATATATATATATACATATATAAAAATTTGAACGAATGGTGTTTTTGGCCTCTGGGGACATCAAAATGAAAAAGTAAATCGGTCCCGGGTCTAGGTCTTACCGTGCCACCTACGGTAATAGCTACTTCCCTATAGGGAAATTCGCTAAAATGTGTCAAAATCCAGGCATAATATTAATCTAAAGGATTTACCCACTTTCAAGATATGTAAAGCAAAAACTGTAAACTTAAATTCCTTTGGCAGTTATCTTCAACAGGTTTTATGAAATACCAAAACTCAAATGTAAGTTTCCAGTGTGTTTATTCAGCGGTTACTGTTGGTTGTAAGGCGACGGAAGTCTTCTAAAATAAGGCTTTAGGAAGAAATAAAACACAATGTAAGTTTGCAGTGTGTGTTTATTGTGCGATTATTGTTGGTAATGGTGAGCGACCTCGCCCAAGGACTGTACAGGCCACATGCACTCGCAGTTTGAGGGAATGGTACGAGTGAACACTTCCCAGCAGTTGGAGTCAAACTTACGACGAGTCAGGTAGATTGTCTGGGACCTCTGAACGCACGAGAATCCAGGATACACACACATCTAGGGAAAAAGAGTTGCATGTAAAACAAGCCAATGATGACTCATGATTAGCAGAATGATTGCTATTTTTAAGGGGAAAGATGGGTTTGATGCCTTGTATGTGGATTATTGAAAAGAAAGATTGTTCATCAATACGTTGTGACATAAAATAAGCATCTTCTTTTCAATTAATTCATGTCTTTTTGTTTTGTAACTTGCACTGAGACATGAAGATGGCATTTGAAGCAAAGCACATTGTCATACATAATTTTTGCTTACATTATCACACCTCATTGAAAAAATAAAAAAAAGACACACAAACTAAGTCTGAGCGTACAAATAATAATAGTTAGCTTTTTTCTCACTGCCAGTACTCAATTCCAAAATTAAACAGCTGTAAATACAAGTTTCTTACCTGGCGTATCTATAAATAAGTTCTAAGACTTATTGAACTCAACTTGGTATGTATGAATAGATATAAATTGTCCTCACACTGACTGGATGACAAACATTTGAAGAGTTCTGAATTACACTTAACACTTACCAAACTGTTGCCAGTGCCAGCGAAGTCAGGGTTCCGTTGGTTGGGGCCCTTGCAGATGCTCTCAAAGTAATGAGGAGGTCTGTACTCATACTCGTCATCGCCTCCCGCATCCCTCAGTTCCACCCTTCGACGGATCACTTGGCACAGCGGCCGAAACTCCTATATAACGTAAAATTAAGAATATAAAAAGTGTTGGTTAATAGGAGTTTTACATGTGTTTAAGCCCTACACTACAAAAATAAGGCCTTAAAAAACAACCGGCAAAAAGCCTTCTAGTATTGCCAATTGCTAATTTTAATCATTCATACGTCATATTTTATCATACAAATATCAACAATATTGTTGACGCCATCATGACAGGACCTACATCATTGTAACCTGTTTAAGATTAAATGCGTGTCCTAGGATTTTAAACTACGAACTGTCATTGCAAATCACCCAAGAGCTGGCGTATTAAAAATAGTTCAGTAATGACAGTATTAGTAATGATAGCACACTTGGTTAGAATTTAAATGTTGAAGCTATGCACTTGGGTGGCGTCCCCATCACAATTTGTTATATAGTAATAAAACTTACAATATTGTTGTCAACGTTAGAAGACCGTCCACAAAAGCACGGTCACAAATATTTATCCCTTCCACAAATTATGTTCATCACTTACTGGCATGTGTACATCCCTCTCAGTCTTTCCTGACATCTGTTCCGTCTCGAGGAAGTCGTGAATGTTGAGAGGAACCATGGGGAAGTAGTCCCACGGGGAAACACTGCGGACTACTCTGCTGCCGTTGTTCTAGAACAGCGCCTTCATTTGAGTGTGATTTTAGCATAAACCATAGCTCTTAGTTTTTACCAGATATAACTACATATTGAATTCAGTTGTTAAACAGGGGTGGTAGTTTAGTTAGGTACCTTTGGAGATTGATCTGGAGACGAAATTTTGGGGTTCAGGGAACACATTTTGAGGGTTCGAAAATAGCAGACTGGGAGGTTCCCTTAATTTTCTTAAACATGGTTATTAAAAATGCTAATTTGTAAAAGGCATGGACAAAAATGTGATGAGTAATACTGACACAAAATCTGAAGCTATAAATGCACAACTGAATAATTATTCATCCTGTTTATATAGTCTTACCTGGTGAAGGTTTTGCTGATGATTCTCTATGTGAAATGTTAGCCCCGAGGTGGTCAGTAGACATGCTACTGATAGTATTTCCTACAACATCATCAACACGAGTTGTTAATAAAACAAAGTTTGGCGTAGAGATTCTGAATGAATGAATGGATAAGTGCTTGCTTTATTTTATTAATAAACATTCCTCTTATAACATAAGCATACACTTAATTAAACAATGGCCTACAACCGTCTGTTTGAGGACAAATTTCAGAACTTTACAAAATTGAAATAATTATTAATTTTCTTTACTAAAACAAAAGTGTTACTTGAAAATGTGTTTGTTGGACTTTTTGTAACAAACCAGAGACCCTATTATTTTGCTTCTTTTAATTGACGGATGAGAATTTGTAAATGCACTTGTCACCAGTTGTTTAACCTCGAGTCTATCTTTCAAAATTGACTCCTCATATTGAGGGGTTAAATGGTTTAATCTAAACAAGCATTGCAGCATAAACACAAGGGATATAGAGATCTGCTGCTCATGCATGTTCCCACAAGATTTGAAGGAAATTGTCTTTCTCTGTGGTACTTAGATCTTTATTTCTAAAACATAATTTAGATATATGGTCGTATACACAATCAGCAAGCAATTCACAAATTGCAGATAGGTACCTTGATACAAAACGGTTTACAAATCTCAAGTAATGAAAACACAAAAGAAGTTTATTCCAAAAGTAAAGTTTATTAAATATTAATTTTTAATGTAGGCTATTTAACAAAATTTGGACTAATCTTTTTTTTCCAAAACAAGATATATTGTGTGTGGAATGTTTGCAGCTTAGTTTTAGATTAGTTCCTAATTCATAAGTAACAGTGAATAATCCTCATAAAATGTTTTAAACAAAAACAAAAGAACATTTGAAACTGTATTGGATGGATATAACAGTTAAACATAGGTTTGCATGTACTGATCATTTTCATCCTTGAACATTTCTATTTTTCAAAAGCCTCTAGCCTATCACAAAAAAAAACAAAAAAAAAAAAACAAGTCCCTAGTTAAAACTATTACTACATGCATGCATCAACTATATCACTGGAGTTATATGAAACTGTATTAAACCCATGAGAATAAGAATTTATCACAATAGAATAGTTTAGTAAAAGAAAGGTAAAAAGAAAGGTCTTTTCATTAGTACAAATCAACAAGAAGTAAACAATAACAATAAAGACATATAAAACTAGAATGACAATATAGTCAGTAGAGCCAACCATTACATCTCCCTCTTAAAAGGCTGAGTTTCTGGGGAGGTTTTATAAGCCGTCTTGATCTGGTTGTTATGTTAGCTGAAGACATTCTAGAGGTGCTTGAAGGAACCGTTGAAAAGTTTGGAGGAACCGTTGAAAAGTTTGTTATGTCTTCATCGATTCGATAATCCATCTGACCCAGGTCCACATTTATAAACGGGCAGCCAGGGGCGCCCACCGGGTGCCCCCCAACCACTGTCCGTACGTACTAGGAAAAAAGGGGACGCTGCTTTTGGGTTTGCCCAGGGCTCCACTGACCCTTAACGCGGCCCTGATCTGACCACTTGTTTATGGTTGATGGTTGTGGTTAACTGTTGAAAATTTTACTAAGCACATACCGTTGTCTTCCTCGATTCGATGATCCTTCTGACCACTTCTTGATGGTTGATGGTTGTGGCGATGATCCTTCTGATCATTTGTTGATGGTTGATGGTTGTGGTAACTTACCCTTTTAATCATTTGGCATTGGTCGCAGGTGAAACCGGTTTCTACTAACTATGGTTCCTTTGTCTGTCAGCATTTTATTAGATCATGGTAGTGGAACGCAGATTGTTTGTATAGGTAAAAAAATTAAATTTTAGTGTCTGTATATTAATACATAAAAAGTTGAAACAACCTTAAAGTCTGTGGTCAACCCAAACTACACGAATAAAGACTGCGCTATGTATTAAACCCATGAAAATAAGAATTTATCACAATAGAATAGTTTGAGTAAAAGAAGGTAATAGTCTTTTCATTTATACAAATCAACAAGAAATAAACAATAACATAAACACATGATAATATAAAACCAGAATGACAATGATATAGTCAGTAGAGCCAACCATTACAGAAACTAGGTGTATTTTATCCCAAATATGAATAATAATGTTAATGTTGACCAATGTTTATCTGCAAGCATCAGGGCCGTCCCTAGGGTTGGCGGCGCCCGGAGCAAATGTGGTCGTGGCGCCCCCTCCCCACCAGTAGTAGTAGCATTCGCATATTTTATTTTAATACTGTACAAATAGCCGCTGCACGGCGCCCCCTCAGCCACGGCGCCCTTCGGACGGCCCTGTCTGCAAGTTACCAATGACAGTAGCATTAGTCACTTTCTAAAAACAATCTCAATAGGTATTTTAAAAAATCTTAGATTTTTATTTTCCAACTTTTTGAATTGGTGAAGAAAAAAATATAATTTACTAATTATTGTTGACAATAGAGAGAGACCCAGTCTTGGAGCGAAACACAGGTAATAACTTTCCGGCAATATTATTATAAATCAGTTATTGGTACTATAAGTAAAGTTCTGAAACAAATGCTACCTAATGTAAAGATTAATCACTTGAAAATCGTCTCATTGGCCAAAATTAATCCGCAAGTTATCAAAGACTACAGATTAAGAGGGATGGTACTGTACATCTATGTAGTTACTGATCATCCGATGATCAGGCAATTATGATCTAAAAATTCTCACTTGCGAAAGTTCTCAATGGCCAAAATTTGATCCGCAAGTTATCAATGATGGTACAGTCCGTTAAGACAGTGGGAGGGGACTGTACAGCAATAGTCTAGTAATAGGAAGTAATTGCCCACTAGTGGACACTGTGACACTGCCCCTCACAGGCGAGATGGTAAGTAACTACTGCCTGCTTCTAGTTTCTATAAAAACTTGTTAAATTCATAAATTTAAAGTATTTTTTGAAATTACTCTGTAAGGAATAATTAAGTATTTTATAATCACCGGCATCAGTTTGCTTAATGTAGTCTAAAATACTGAGTCAAAGTAATTTTGCTTCCAAAAACTGTGCAAACTTAACTTTTTTTAGTTAGTATTATTACCAATAATTGAGATGGAGGCCAAACTGGGTGTATTTAAAACTAAGTTAGTCTCTAACAAGAGCTCGCCCCATGGTCAAAAAGTCGATCAGAAGTACTATGTATTGTGCAAACTTCTCTATTTTTACCCCACACTGTAAATAAAACATGTGATTGGAATTTCTTCCATTTGTTTTGATGTTCTGCTTAAATTTTTTTGTTATTTTGTCATGTCACCAGCATGGCAACCATAAGACCCATGTTAATTTTTTGGAAGTTTCAAATTCATATTTAGTGCTTATTTTTTTGCCTATTTTAATGTATAAATGGATTCTGCATGTCTGCAGGTAAATATCTTTCATTTGGTAGCAACCGCGTGTAATTCGGTCCAGTAGTATGGTCAGGCTGGATGTCATAAGTTTTGCAAAAGTTTTTTAATCTATATACTTATTTAATACGCAAGCAGGTTTTTTGTGACAATTACTCCTCCGAAACTACTGAACCGATTGACATGTTTTTGGTGTCATTGGAAAGAGCGTAACGTGAAGTTGTGCAGGAAACTTTCTTTTTAGGGAAATAATTAGAAAGTGAGGCCCTGGGGCCCTTTAAAGTTTTGTATTTCTCCATAAGGATAACATGGGAGATAATTTTTATTTACAGAAACATATGTTTGTTACTTGAGAATATTCAAAGTCTACTACATAATAATTGCTGTGTATTATGACTGTTAATGTATACTACATTTCAATCAAGGATTGTGTACCTTTAGAGTTTACTCCTAATGGATCTTACTTCTTTATTTCAAGCCTGGGAATGGTAAAATTTAGTTGAGAATAAGTTACCATGATTTAGAAAACTTTACTATAGTAATTTATGTATTTAAATTCACAAATCTTTGACATTATTAATTAATTTGAAAAAAAAAACAGCTGATCGACCAATCAAACAAAAAATCATCTACTTCATGTGGATAATGTTGTTACACAATAGTATATTTCGTACCTAGGGCCGAAAATTAGGTTTTGCCGGCTCGAGATAGTTTTAAGTTCGAGACGAAGTCGAGAACTTAAATCGATCGAGAGCTGCAAAACCATTTCGGTCCGTGGTTCGAACGCTATTTTTCACCACACTATTTCCTATTACCACTATTCACCACTATAATAATGCACACTGATAGTCAATACAACTACAACTTGGTTATGTGAAGAAATAATTTGAGGAATCAGCAAAAATAAAAATAAATAGTTGCTAGGCAACAGTGACAAAATTCTATTGCAATGCAATGTACTTTGATTGTGTATTTAAAATGCATTCATTAAGTAAGTAAGCGGACAGCTGATTTTGCGGCCCCGGCCTGTAAAAACCTGCTCGGTCCCCAAATTACGATGACAGCTGGCATGGCCAGCAAAACGTAACTTTCAGCCTCCAATTAACGTATGTAATACAGCCAAAAACATCATAGTGTGGTGAAAATATAGTTTTTTTTTTAACCCATAATTTGATTCTGTTTTACTTGTGGGTGTATTTTAAGTTTGCAGTTATGCAACCAAGCAAAGTAGCTTTTATTTAATTTTCTTTATAAACTAACAGTATTAATGAACTTGACAAGTTAGGTAATTAATTGTCAGTATGCCAAGGGGAAGAGGAGTGGGTCCTCAAAAACAGACGAAGGCGGAGAAACCCATCTAGAAAATCCAACTGAGTTTTAGCGAATTTCCCATATAGGGAATAAGCTATTACCGTAGTACTCATGGTAAGACCTGGACGCGGGACCGATTTTTTTTTTCGTTTTGAGGTCCCTAGAGGCCAAAAACACCATCCGTTCAAATTCATATATATATATATATATATATATTTATATATATATATATATATGTGTCCGTCAGCACGATAACTCAAGCAAAAATGATCCGATTTTGATGAAATTTGGTACAAACGTGTAAACCTAAGTTTATTCGAACGAGTTCGCGATCCAGCATGATCGGACCATGGGAACG